GCAATCCATCACTTCGTTATTCTTAAACAAAAAGCTAAGCCACTAATTTGCCCATTCTGGGCTTGAACTTGCAATCCTGCCCAAGCCTCCCAAAATGCTGGAATTACAGGCATGCACCACCACTTCCGGCCACTAGACAGTTCTTTAACCTCTCTGAGCCCATTTCCTTATCTATAAAATGGAGACAAGGGTAACAGTACTCACCTCACAGGGTTGTTGTGAACATGAAGTGTATACAGTCAATTTACTTAAATAAGTATAATCATGTAAATTGCATCTATTAATATATGTCAATTTCTTGACAAAATGCCTAGCACATAGCTAGGTCTCAACAGATTTTATTATTATTATAACTTTAATTAGAGACAAGTACATATTTTTGTAATATTCTCATCTATGAACATGTTATATGTATTTCCGTTTGTCTTTTGAAAATTTCTCTTAGTAAAGCTTTTTTATTTTTAAAGTTTGAGTCTTGAAAAATATTTAAAAGTAGTGTTTTAAAGTAACACATAGCATTGTGCTGTGCCCCTCAACAGAGCTAAATTCTTTCAATCCTCTTAGTGTGTTACAGTCTCTCATCTCTCTCCCGCTCCCACTCCCTGTCTGTCTCCCGCTCTCCTCTCCCTAACCCCTTTGCCTCTACCTTCTCACGTAACTCATGCTTGCTGTAGCAGACTTGGTTCAGTCGTCACTTCCCTTCTGAAGCCTCCTCTTTCATCCTGGTCTTCACCCTGTATCATACATGACTTAATACACTTGGTTGCTGCGATTTTTAAACTGGGGATGATTTTGCTCCCAAGGCACATTTGGCAATAACAGGAGACATCTTTGATTGTTATAAGTGGGCGGAGGGGCACTGCTAAACCCACTTAGTGGGTAGAGGTCAAGGATGTTGCTAAATATCCTATAATGCACAGGACACTCTCTTAAAATAATTGTATGGCCCCAAAATGTCAGTAATGGTGAAGTTGACAAACCCTGTATTTAAATGATCTATTTACTGTCTTACTTCTTTTGACATTTATATTACCCACATCCAGATAGCCTGATTCATAGCATGTGTTCAACAAATGTCTGTCGAATGAGTACACATTTCTTCCAATGCCATGATTTCCATGTCATTATTTCTCTATTATTTCTGCTTGTGAGAAAATCAAACACTCTTCTCTGCTTTTCTTTCCTTGTTCCCCCTCCACAAAGGAACCCTTTTTATACCCAGAAGACAGGTTGACTTCTGATTGTGAGCCTAGGAAATAACTTTCCTAGGAAGTGCTCAGTAGTCTTTTGCCTAGAGTACCTCTGGAGGGTTTGGTTGTATCTGGCTACTTCTTGCTCAGCCTGAGAGCCTGTGTTTGCATTCTTGGGAGTATGTAGCTTCTCAGTAGGAGTTTGAAAATTTTATGCTTTAATTTCAATGGCAATAGAGAACAAACCTATTCCAGATCTGTTGTCTAGAGACTTATGGTTTATGTTTATGTTGGTGCTTATGATTATATTTGCACCAGGGGAGAGGTACATGATATCCTCAGTTGTTATTGAACGCCTTTGTTGTAGCTCAGTCAGAAAACAGAATGGTGGGAATTTCTCCTCAACTGGTGGTACTGGTGCTCTAAGCTCAAAGGCTTGTGCCCTGGTGGTCAGTATGTCGGTGGTCAGTACCATCCCCTGTTCTGTCTTTGTGGATACCAGACTGCAACAGTTATTGGCATAGATATACAGTAAAAGGCCTTTCTTTGTTAAGCCACAGAAATCACTGGGTGAAGATACCCATTAGAGCCAGATTTTAGGAGCACCATGATGCAACCTTTCCTTAAACAAACCAAGACCTCTGCAGGGTACTACTGAGTCCCAGACACCTCCTGACCACAGATGTGAGAGGATGAGTCCCTCACACAGCATGGCTGAGTGTGAGATGTGATCTCTCAAAGTTATTAATTCCATTTTGTAAAATGAACCTATGTGAACAGAGAGTCTGTGTTAATAATAATAATTAT